GAAATAAAAAATGTTGAACAAGAAGTTTTTGATATTTTATTTTTTCAATTATGGTCCTTCTTTTGAAATTAATTTTATAGGACAGCTAATTTTATCATTGTGCAGAGCTCCTAATAATTTTTAAACATTGGAAGACATGGTCTTCCTTGGTTGGAAATTTAGCTATCCCTTGACTTGAACTGGAAAGTCCTCATCTTTAGATTGATCAAGAAGTTGTCACCTGATTCCTATAGTGTTTTCTAACAATTATGTTTTCAGGTTTAACCATTACTAAACAATGGAAGAAAACATTAAAAATGTTTAATATTTTGATTTTTATATTTTTTATGTTTTAGTTTTAGTACATTTTTACATGTCATATGTATTAAAACAAATACAATTTATAAATGGATTAAAGAAGTCTGAATTGAAGAATTCTTATTTACAAACCATTAATTCACTTCCTTTTTTGGAGGAGATCATTCTCAGAATCCCTCTTGCATAACACTTAAAATGTCTCCACATTCACAAATGGCTCATGTTAAATAATCTCTCTGGTCAGTTTTCAAACTAAGTGGCCATATACATTGCTCGGGCCAAAAGGCAGCTATCTTCAAAGTTTTACAATGACAAATCGAGCATTTACTGTAATTACTTCATTATGAAGACATGATTTTTCTCCATTTTCAAGCATAATTCCACTTTTCCCCTGACCTGAAAACTATTACACTATAAATAAGGGGATACCAGTATTAGTGCTGGTCACAGTCTGGTTAGAAATTAAAAATCAATGATCAGTTGACTTAGTTCTGTGCACTTTTTATCATGTTAAACGTTTTAGTTGTTGAAATCGATAGAGGATACAAACCAACATGGATGTAGCATCAGACTATTTATAGCTTGAAAGGAGAAGACTCTCATTGAGAAGGAAAAGAAACAATTGCACATTGAGCCAAAAAAGTCGGAGGTGACAAAAAGGAAGGCTAAAGAAATCTTTGCCAAAGCTGCAAAAGATCTCAACTGGCATATCAACAGGTTCTGTCCAGTGGAGAAAAATACAAGTGAATGTATGGGATTATTTGTATATGGTTGATGCATTATACAGATTTGTTATGAAAAGAGAGAAGTATAATAGATTTACTGCAAAAGTTGACAAATTAATATAACTTAATTACAACGTGAACACTGACATGCACATGAAATAATTTCAGCATCAGTAGTTGGAATAAATTCATTTGACAATATATATTGTTAAATTTATTTAAGTCAAGATGAACAATTTTGGTTTATTTGTTTCTCAATGATTATTTAGCTTTATATTATGATCATAAATTGCACCAGGATCAGCTTCTTTATGATTGTAAAATGAGCTGCCCCTTTGAGACCCCATTGGGGGAGTTCTCCCAAAACCACCTTAACATTCTTTCAGCTTTTTTTTTATGGAAGACCAAAATCGTGTCCGTCTTCTGGAGGAAAACTTTTTTAGTCCACCATTATGGGTTAAAGAGAAGTCCCTTCCAATAGTCTTAAGTTCTGCTAGTGCTACACTAAAGGGTTGGAGGTTGGACCCATATATTTCAGAACTGATTAGGTACTTGGAGCTATAGAAACCAGTCTTTAACTCTCTTTAATCCTTAATAAATGTACCTGGAAACTGGTGCATTCATTGCTCATTATCTCAACTTCCTTATTCCTTATAAGATGGTGTCCCATCAATCTCTAGTGTCAGCAAGAAGTAGTGAAATTTACATCTTGACAGTGAAAAAGGGAGTTGTTTATGATTCAGTAGTAACTATAATTTGGTCTCTGTTCTTTGGTAATCTTGGCTTCTGGCTAAGAATCAATTAACTTTGAAAGATCCTATTTCTATGGACATGAATTCTCTTAATTATATCTGTGATCAGGAGATTTCTTTGCCAATTATTAGAGTTTTACATCATATTTCCCTCTCTAAAACCACTATTGTCTGAGATATTGTGATATTTGAGAAAATAATACTGAACAAATATACAAGCTTTTAAAAAAATTCCGTTTGCTGTCATTGGCACTATTTAGCATGTAACTGGCAAGAGCTGTTTTGATGGTAGTCTTTAAAAACAGCACAAGCATAATTGCATTAGAATTAAACTTTGTTTGCTTGTAGATGCATGCAAAGGATGTTGGTATATGCTTGTAGTAGATCCATGCAAAGGATGTTGGTATATGCTAAGTCTCATCCATGAATAAATTACCTAATGAGCTTAATTACTGTTTTAGGAATTGAGCCTGTTTGCTAGAAATGCCTGGAAGTATATATATATATATATATATATATATATATATATATATATATATATATATATATATATATATATATATATATATATATATATATATATATATATAATTTGCCGACACGGGAGTTCTCCGTACGCATGTTTCTTTTGCAAAGAGGAAAGTTTTGTGGCAGAATAAATGTTCTAATCACTATGAAAATTGAAGCAATGATTTTATTTTAGTTTGTTGCTGACGTCTTTGATCAAAAATCGCCGGCTTGCTTTGAAGAAGGTGCATGTGTCATTGAAGGCGCCGCTAAAGGCTTTCTTTGAAGGACTAACCAAATGCCCTTTTGTTATTGCTGCAGCAACATCACATAATTGTAGAATATTGAGACAATTTTGTGGAAAACAAATCCTAAGTATATATCGTTGCTTCAGAAGTAATCAGTGCTCATTGAAGTTGCAGCAAACATTTTTATGTTGTTTTTTTTTTTTTTGTTTTTTTTTTTAAATTGCCGTTTTCTGGTCGAATGTAGTCATTTCACATTCCCGCCCTCGGAGTAGGCTGTTTGTAGCTAGTCAGTTGCATGGCTATTTTGATTATATTACAGCATACGTTACCATGACCGGAGGTCAGCATAAGCTAATTATGATAAAACAGTGCACAGCTATAGTGGTTGGTCAACACGAAACCAGGATGTGTTTATATAACAATATATTCCAGGGCATTTTTATATCCAAGTTTGTGGTTTCCAGCATCACGTTGCCTTTGAATTTCTCCACTCCAAACTCCAGACTGTATCTACTGTTTTTATCAGCCAAAACGGTTGTAGCCAAAAATATGGCCAGATGGTATATTTTGTCACCAATATGTAAAAGATAATTGCAATTGACAACATTGGAGAAGCCCAGCGCAATCACTGTTATTGATTTCATTTCCGGTTATTGCCGTATAAATATTGCCTGTAAACTCAAAATCAAGAGACTTGGATAAAATGCCGTTTGCATATTTAGGCAAGTGTTTTGTTGTTAAACGGAAAAATGATGAATATTGCAGTGAGATTTAGAACTGTGTTAAGTTGCTATAACTGATAGTTCGAATGCGATCGTAGCCAAGTGTAATAATTTTACATAAATTCTGGCTCAGTGGGGATTGCAACTTTTGCTGGTGGGACTGCAACTTTTGATGGTGGGACTCCTATTTTTATCAAATTAGGAGTCCTGGACTCCTAGTTTTAAATCCTAGCGAGACCTATGTATGTATGTATGTATGTATGTATGTATGTATGTATGTATGTATGTATGTATGTATGTATGTATGTATGTATGTATGTATGTATGTATGTATGTATGTATGTATGTATGTATGTATGTATATTTTTGTTTTTACTAATCCATTAAATTTATATTACTATTAATAATTATAAATTTATAGTAACTCAGTGTATCTTGATAGGGTATGGGTAAAGCAGCTTTTTTCACTGTCACATGCTGACTATACAGGTCTTTCTTATTGCATTTGTATATATTAAACCCATAGGACTGGGTGATTTATGGATAGTATATAACTTTCGTTATTTTTTTTGTAATAATGTTACAGTATGTTTTGTTTCAGGCATATGCAAAATCTGGAGTAATATTCAGGAAACTTAAGAAAACGTTTAGATGGTTTATTATCAGCCAAGCTAGATGATCCATCAGTTGATATATCAGGTATTTGCCCTTTGTTGCAAGACTTTCTTTAATTTGTAAGCTATTGTCTGCATATCAGGTTGCGTCATCTCATTTATAAAATGGTTAAAAGTTTTGCTGATTGACTGCTTAGTCTTGTATATGTTAGGGTTAAGTTACCCTTCTAAGGAAAGCAATAAAGTAGATGATAAAATATGCCATTTTGAGGAGTAGTTTTGTTAAAATCCTCTGAGTTGCCAAATTATTTGTTGTTGTTTGTAAGTAGATGAACTTTATTTGTATGTCTTTCTAAAGCACTTACAAAGTGTTGTCTCTTGGTTTCATTATTTAAATCAAATAAATACCATATGGTTTTAAACTGTATCAGTCCTTTCATTTGTGTTTTCAGTGAAGTTTACATTTAAATCTTTAATGCTGCTAAAAATTTAATTCATACCAATGTTTAATGTTTAGATTTATTTTGATTTTTATGTCAGTTTTTATGTTTTCACAATTAAGATTATGACATCAGACTAACATAGACAATTGTATCTTTTCAGAAAGCAGTCTAGTGTCTCTCCTTCAGGAACTGTTCGTAGCTGAGAAAACAAGGTGATGAAGGAGTTGTTTCTCTTAATCTGTCACACATTTGTGATAATTTTCAGTAGATTTCTGAAGGACAATAAGATTACCTCCACATGCCTCCACTTTTAAACTTACTTAGAGGCTAAAAGAGTTTGCATGACATTCATGTTTGCCCTAAATAAAGACCTCTTAAAATAAGAGATATAGTTTCCAAGCCAATGCATGTAATTGATGTAGCTTTTGCATTATAAAATTGTTCCATTAAATGTGTGTGTGTGTGTGTGTGTGTGTGTGTGTGATTTAAATTTTTACGTAGCTTTAACAATTTTTCAGTCATATCGTTATGATGTCTGCTGTGTGAATTTATAGTGATGTCTAGTACTGGGGCATTATGCCGCAGTTATGTCACATTATCCTGACACCAGGCTTACCAGTCCTAACACTAACTTCTTAATGCTGAGCGCCAAGCAAGACATCTGTTAGTACCACTTTTGTAAGTCTTTATTATGACTCAGCTGGGGTTCGAACCTGCAACCTCCTGCATCCGAGGCGGACGCTCTAACCACTAGGCCACCGGAGCGGTTCCATTAAATATGACGTAGTATAAACACCACTTACTTGAGCACTGTAAGGAATTGAAAGTAGGTCTTTCAAAAGCCTTTTGCCGCCGCTTTTTGCACAAATGTATATCTTCCAATTATGAAAAATATTATTTTAGAATGGTTTATTTTATATAGGCTGGGTACCTAATGTAAAAGGATGATTGGAAAAGAATAAAGTTCTGCCAATTGTTCTGTTAATAGTATATATTATATATTTCCAATATTAAATTTGTCTGCAAAAATGTCTTTTTGTTATGATTTTTTATTTGTAAAGAGAGGGACACTCGGGCAACTATTTACTTGTCAAATAGTGTCTTGGCACATCTAACTTTATATCCACTTTTGATGCAGATTTCCGAGAACATCTATTTCAGCGATGACACATTTGTGGGTGCAGCTTTTATGATTTTTTTTAAATATGGTTCCTGCATGACACATGTCATGCTTGCCACTGTGTAAGATTTTAAAATCAGGTTCACAGGAAGATCAGAATAAATATTGAACTTGATTGTAACGAGCATAATTCCTGTTTTCCATCAGTCGTTGGATTTTGTGTTATTTCGGTTGTTTGGATATTTGGTGTGTTGGCATTGGGAGACAATGGAGCAGTCTCTTGAAACATTAAATTTTCCATATCTCAAGAAGAATACTAACATGGTACTTTTAAGAAGAGATAGAGCCAAACTAGCAATTACTGCCTAGCATCACTAACAGTACAACATATGGATGTTGACTACATTTGACCTTGCTCGGCTTTTATCTGGTTACATTTGCATCATAAAGACACATTGAAAGATTGCCATCTGGCCCAAGCCCTGGAGGATGTTGCTCGTACCTGACATACCAGAAAATCAGTTTGGACTTAAAGCCAAAAGATCTTGCAAAACATAGTGCTTCATAAGCAGGGTTGACATTGCCAGGAACTTGGATGGTACTCAAGATGACAAAGTCATGATATTAAATTTCTGAAGCTTTTGACAGAGTGCCATATCGGACACACCATGCGTATTGGAGAGACATGCAGAGATGGCTGAATGAATCCGGTTATACTGGATTGTGCCAAACCAACAAACACTTCTTTATCACCTGAACATTCCAAGTTGATAATACTTCATCCAGCTCTGTATGATCTACGTAATTGCATTGCTGACTATCAAAATACAACTTTCCATCTGTTTGATGAAGACTGCGTAGAGTACTAACAAATCACCAGCTACAGAGATGACCTTTGTTTTTGATGTATGGAGTTGCACATACACCATCATGCAGGTCTCAAGTAAAACATCCAAACAGCAGTAAAAAAATTGTTTATTTCTGACTTCATGGCCAAACATATAAAATGTATTTTATTTTATACGCTAGACGCAATAGGGTCTTGTGGACAAATGAACATACATATATACGACTAATGAATGCTTCTGTCATTATTAACTATAAAATTGCATCAGATATATAACAGACATATATACGACTAATGAATGCTTCTGTCATTATTAACTAGAAAATTGCATAAGATATATAAAGAGTAATTTATTGCTGCTATATATGACACTAGAATTAAGTCAAATATCATAGTTCCATAGATTTCAAGACACATCTCTATTAAAAACTTGTCATCATTGAAAAAATATTTATATTAATTTATCAAAATCAAATGCATTATAATTAAAAGATTTGATATAGGCAGTTTCATCTTTGAATAGATATTAAAACTAATATTATCAGCAAAAGTAACCAATTTCCATATTTTACATTCTCTAAATTATATACCGAGTGGTATCAAATACATTGTGCAACTGAGCTGAATAATTCAATTTTGATTTTCAAAAAGCAATTTATGAAATTATATAAATGTGTGCTCGGTCGAGTACACACTAATTTTTAAATGTCTCACCATATTTTTTATTATCTGATAGACTGGGTTTAAAAAGTAAGTGTACGAGCATGACAGTTAAGTACAGAAGGAGGCATTGGTAGTTTGTAGATGTTGAGTAAAAACTACATGTCGCTTTTTGTGCATGATACATGATAGCAATTTGAATGGAATGATCTTGACATAATTGTGATAATTTCCATAAGTCTGCGATGGTTCTTATAAGACTCTTCAAAACCTACTTGACAGTGATAAGATTCTTGATACTTGGTAACCATTCTCCACTAGCAAAATATTATGACTTCCATCATAAGTAGGACGCTGTAACTCTAACTTTTGCAGATGTCATTGAAAAACGTATGCACATAATGTTGATGTTTGTGATTTTGCACGGAATCAAAACCGTGGCATATTTAAGACGCTGGTATTGGAATATGTCTATCAGGAACGTTATTGATGATATGATGACATTTGATAACTATGTCAGGCGAAACCGGACGAGACTGTGAATACGGTGTTTGTTTATCGAAATGCAAAGGGTTGAAATGTAGCAGAAATTTGAGTTCGTATTTCTTGAAATATTTGTCATAACTTGAGACTTTGCAGAGATCGACATATTAATAGTGCGGAAATTTTTTAAAAATTTTCCCAACCATGGCGGAGCATGTGTTAATTATGGCAGTTAGATAAACCTACATTCCGATTGGACAAGTTAATCGTCTGAAGTTTCACTGGCGATGTCTCGTATTTTACTAATGATTTGCACTGCAAAACTATTCAGTCTAATTTTTGGCACTACACGAAGTTCTTGGAGGTGGTAGGAGTAAAACCCTCGTAAACGTTGTCCAAGAGATGTGTAGTGGCAGTCTTTGAGAGACACGTAACTAAGATGTCAAGACTGCTAGACTGAAAGAGAGATAATCTCAAAGCACAAGGTACGTGGTCATAATTTCATACAATGTTTCTTTTATGCGAGTTTTAGGTCATGGGTATTTATTGTTGGTCATATTCCTGACTTTTGTAAAAAAAATAGTGATTAATAGTTCACACTGTTTCATCTTATTTGTCTTAAATGATATGTGAATCAAGTATGTTAAGAATTGCAATTCATTATGATTAAATTTATGCAATGCTTTATGCCAATGACTTATTAGCAATACTATAGTTAAACTTGGAAGTTAATTTAGCTTGATCTATTTGTTAGCTAAGATGTGAATTGTTTCAACCGATTAATCGCTTATATTGACATTCGGGCAGCAATGTGGAGTATATGGGTATTTATTGTTGGTCATATTCCTGACTTTAGTAAAAAAAATTAGTGATTAATAGTTCACACTGCAGGGGCTTTTTTGTTATTAGGCGAGAGCAGATTATGTTATCGACCAATCAATTATGGTAACTAGTTATGTATGAGAAATACATCCATTTTCCTGTACAATGTTAATTGTCTACGGAAAAAGCTAAGCTAGACTTTATATAGTACTGTTGTACTGAATACAAGACTATGATCTTAGGTCATTTAGTAATGAAATGTCTGTTGTGAAATTTGTTATTTTAAATTTATAATGAGAAACTGCGTGTTTGTCAGTTCATGGTGTTAGGAAGAACAAGAATTTCATATGCGTTGTTTTATTTATCAGCAAAATAGCTGTCAAGTTGGATAGTAAGGTTTCCATGTCCGATATTAATTATTCATCGTCGGATAGTAAGATGCAATGTCGAATTAAGGAATCCACGCATAAACGAAGAGCGAAAACCAGAGGGAACAGTGTTGCTGTACAAATTGACTCCAAGTGACTAACTATGTTGAGTTCGGAGAGGATCCAGCAACCAAATCATGTTAAGCAAACATCCGTTAATTTAATATTTTAATATTCGCTTGATCCGGGCTATAACATCGATGTCTATTATCCCGTATGCATTGATAACCACAAAAAAGAACCCCACGCATGTGAACACGTCATACACACTATGTTTCGTCACACTCGGAATGTTACAACCTTGCGCGAGTGGGGAAACCGTGTGGCCGAGTTTTCCAAGGCGCTTACCCTTACAGATCTCTACCTCAGTCGTTGTGGGTTTGAAGCTCGTGCTCGGCATTGTGGGTATGTGAGAAAGGATGCAAGTACCTTCCCGTGGGCAATGGTGTTATTGAGATTTACCTGATGCCTTTCTACACTAGCTATATCCGCATCCATGAAATAGCCTCTCATGCGCTGAAAATGACGTTAAACCCCGAAAAACAAGAACAACTTCTCAACTGCCAGTACAGGCTTCTGAAAAGGTCACAACGTTTCTTCTCTAGACAGGACCTAGCATGAGTCAAACTATTTTATTGTTAGTCATTACAAAGCAAAGAGAAAGGGAAGAAAACATCTTTAATCAACATTCTGTCGTTAGAGAGATAATGGTATTTGCATATGATAATGAAAAGGAACATTGATATCAACATCACACAAGTTATGTTCATCGCTTTTGCCATTTTTGAATCCAATATTACCTATACTTTTAAAGCCCCATTTATTATCAATATTTGAATTTTTAATTTTTGAAAACGAGCATTAAGTTTTAAGCATTAGTTTCCTGAGATAAAAACTATTAAATGTTAGAATTATAAACATTTCATCAAATATACTGCTGGAATATTCGTATTGACAACAAAACTCGTAAAGCTAATGAGTTGAATTCCTCTCTCTCTCTCTCTCTCTCTCTCTCTCTCTCTCTCTCTCTCTCTCTCTCTCTCTATATATATATATATATATATATATATATATATATATATATATATATATATATATATATAATGCTGCTTTAAGAAAAGGTACATCAACATGAATGCAATGTCGAGCTTGCTTTTATCACATTTATTTACATTGTTTAAATTAGAGAATACATCAAAAGAGAATGAGAATAGCAACGCAGTCGATAATTGGATTAGAAAATTATATAAAGATGTTATAAGAGTTTCAGATAGCAAATTTAAGTTCATATCCACCTTTTATGCACGTAAAGAAAAGGAACCTGACCCAATGGAATGTATTGCTGCGCTAATAGACTCTGGAATAAAGTGAAGATTTGTTCAACATGCTGTAGACTTTATGGTTA